GCCCCGCTGACGCCCCGCTATGACGCCCCGCTGACGCCCCCGCTGACGCCCCGCTGACGCCCCGCTGACGCCCCGCTGACGCCCCGCTGACGCCCTCGCTGTGCTTGCAGAGGCCCGCGCCGAGGTGGTGGGCGCGCCGGACCTGCACATCAAGGCCGGGTCGTCGCTGCGGCTCGTCTGCATGCTCCGGGGCTCGACGGAGACGCCCGCCTTCCTCTTCTGGTACCGCGGCACCAACATGGTCAACTACGACGCGCACGACGGCATCTCGGTGCTGACGGGCGAGGGCGCCGAGGAGGCGGCGGGCGCGGGCGCCTACTCGGTGCTGCGCCTGGAGCGCGCCGCGCAGCGCCACGCCGGCAACTACACCTGCGTCCCGGCCAACGCCCGGCCCGCCAGCATACAGGTCCACGTCATCAACGGTGGGTACCGGCAGGGCACCGACTCAATAAATATTTTGAGAAATCATTTATTTTTTTTTTGCACCCTAACGCACCAGACAGGAATGTCGGCACGCTTTGGAAGAGTATAATAAAGCAAGTTCCACTCCTTGTTGCAGACGAGGCTCCCGCGGCCATGCAGCGGGGCAGCGGGGGCAAGGTCCTACTGAGCCCGCTCTGGGTCCTGCTGCTGTCCGCCACCCTGCTCGCCACAGCCTAGGCCGGCCCCGCGGTCAGGGGCCAGGCGCAGGCGCCCCGCCAGGTGCATTGTGTTCGTTGTCCGAGTGTGATACTCCACATATCACCCGCCAACTGTCTGTCGCTTCAGACAAAAAGACATCGTCGTCGAAGTCGAAAAGTTTAGATTATTATGAGTATTCCTGATAAGTGAAAATATGAATAAATAACAAATATTTGTTTAATTTAACAGATTGGGTAAGTTCCCCTGTCAAAGAATCTGTGTAATTTTGAAAGTCAGTGTCGGCATATTTCTGCAAGCAGTAAAGCCCAGAAAACCAGTGAGTTGAAGCTGAACCACTTTGTCTCGTATGAAAGCCATAGTTCTTTATCATCCCAATGTCAGTATGATAACTTGAGTCCCCGCACCTCCCCTTAATGCACAGTAGATAAGGAGAATCAGTTTCTTGTTGTTGTTTTTTTTTAAATCAGTCTCTCATATCAAACAATAAGATTAAATGTACATTTTTGGAGACTACCCATTATTATATTTTCGAAATTATCCCCTCTCTGATCCCTTCTCATTAAGTTACGAGCAGAAAATTGATTGAAGATGTGTAAATGTTTTAGACCCTAGGACTGAACAGTATTATTGTAATTTCTGTGATTGTGTATATATTAATGACGGGTGCGTTCTGAGAGTGAATGAGAAAATAAATAAGTAATAGACAATCTTGTTCATTTTTACTGTTCCTTTCACAACAATACAAAACCTGGGTACATGCAAAATGTAATCTACATTTACCTTGCTACTAACAGTCAAAATTAGTTATGTTTAAACTGATAGCTCTCCACTTTGATTTGCAGAACAGCACTTTAACACTTCATATAATTTGCAAATCTAATAACTGGGTATCACAAATACAAAGCCATAATAGACAACAATCTCATGAGTACTTGGTATTACCTAAAGGAAAAACTGTACAAAAAAATCAAGTAATACAGTGTAATTGCTTCCATGTATCTCTACCATGCAAATAATATGATGATAATAACAACAATACAAAAACAATAATGAAATGGAGAAAATATGGATATAGGCCATTCATATGACATACACAAGACTAGACATGTTGCAGGACACATCAAAACAGCACTCACAAAAAACAGTTATGCATTTTGTTTGACCTATAACTAAATTTAAATAAAAATTAAAAATGGAATCATAAATAATCACAATACTTTCATCACAAACAGGCCTAGAAGTCAGGCTTAATTCAGCTTCTAGGTTGAACAGATTTGGGCAATGAAAAACAATGCCCAGTCAACGGACACACATTTGCAAGGCGGCCACATTCCACATGCGTAATAACATCATTAGGATAACGGGCGAATTTCAAATCACTGAATGGCTTTTTACACACACAGCAGTAACTGTAACAGAGGAAAACAAGATATTTAAGTCAGTTCCCAGCAGATAAGTTCAGATGAAGGCATTTCATTCCAAACAGTTATCATTAATAAGCTAAACAATCAAATTTATAACTTTCAGTACACAAACTTACTTTGATTCCACTAACTTCAGAGAATGCTTCTCAAGAGTGTACAAGGTTTCTGCCCCTTGAATACTGTCAGCTTTAGCCAATGATTTTTCCATCTTTGTTGAGCGAAACTGTAGCAATGTTGTACAACAGTATTAATATTAGAACATAAACACAAAAATAATACCAAAAAATAAAGGTGAAATTTTAGGCCCTTTTTTTTATACCTTGTTCATGGATGAACGAAGCGCTCCTCTTAAGAAGGTTTCCAAAATATTTACTGACCAATGAGGTGGTATGATTTCAATTGCCTTCACTGGATCAATTTCAGAGGCATAGGCATTCAGCAAGTCAAGCGCAGGTGCAAGATATTCATCAGTTTTCTTTCCCCTTCAAAAGAATTTAATAAGAAAGACAGTTATAGTCTAAGTCAAAAGAGTTACTCTACTATAATTGTCTCTGAAATAAAGGAATGACAACTTACCTGTGTTCTGGATTGAGGTAGATAGACAAAAGACTATGGAACAGCATGTTGTAAGAATTGTTTTCTTTTCTGTCCCCATTCAGAAGACAATATTCTTCTGCACCCTTAAAATCTCTCAGTTGTGTGGCAAGAATACTGAGAGCCTTTTCATGATCTCCCATCAATTTTTGGATGAAAAACAAAAACAGAAAATAAAGTAAACCAAAGCAAATAGCTACAGATTTTAGGGTTTAACAATCAACAAAAAAGCAAGAACATAAGTTGAAGTGCATCAAGAATCAAGCATCCTCCTGTTAAGGCAGATCAATCAATAGTAGAGAATTCTTGCTGTATGATAATACAAACCTTTCCATAAAGGACAGCTACTTCCTGATCCAAGCCGACATCCCGCACTTTAGGTAGAAGAAACTTTGCACGGTATAGATTGGATTTCTGAAGAAATATTCTCAACCGTAAGACAGTTTCATTAAAATCTAACTCATTTTCTCTATTTTGAGATTTTAGTTTTGATATGGCATCAATGTACTGCACAGCCAATTGAGTATGAAATTTCTCTTCCTTCACACCAAAAAAGATATAAAAAATATAATTTTTTTACACTTTTAGAGTTGAATTAATAGAGCAAAGACATGCCTGATATTGAACTTACTTCAACTCCTTTGTCGTTGATTAAATATTCAAGGTATAAAATAAGAGCTGTAGGATAACGTTGAAGATAATTAGCAACAGTGTTAGGGTCAAGCTCCATAACAGAAGCAGTATTTTTTTCGGTTTGCTTCTGAATAAATAACTCTACACCATGTTCTTCATTATTATCTAAGACTAAGTCTGCATATTGCCACAGAATTTCTGCATCCCCTATTCTGTAAAATAAAGTAAAGAAATGAGACCCAAAACTAAACCACAATCAGCATGAAATTATATTAAAATCTAAACTTACGTTTTGAGAACTTGGGCAAAGAAGGTGACACCTTTAAAATTTGGGTCATTTAACTCTCCCGATATCATCTGACACCAAAGGGATAAGGCTTCAGACCTTTTTCCATTTCTCAACAGCAGAAGAGCTTGGGCATGGTGCAAGCGCCTGTCCTTCAGCCAAGCCAAACAACTTTGGAAGTCTCCACTGAAAACTGGTGATTCAAGTAAACTTTCTAACTCCTTGTTCTGACCAAGCTCAGCATACAATTTAAGAAGTGCGGTATCAATTTCCTGTTAAAGTAAAAGTAATGGCCACAAATTTAGTAGAGGTCTTAAAAATTCTATTGGAGTGACAATCAAATTAAAGTAAGACATACAAGGCAGTACAAGCTTGTTTTGGAGTCATGAGCCATTTGCAGAAAATGCAGCAAAAACTGTTTGACCTCTGTTATTTTTTTTTCATTCCCATGGAACAGCTGATTCACATCAGCAATGTTGTGAAGAGGTGGAACTGTTCTTACAAAAGCTAGGAATTTTAGAATAGATGGATTAAATACAGAATGATATCTAATAGAAGTATTCAGAAATTTTCATAGAGCACAGGTGAGATAGACATATAGAACTAAAAATACTGACCACTTGCTGAAGGCATAATCCCAGGAAATATTGAGATAATTTCTCTCTCATCAATTTCTGAGTCTAAGAAAAGGTCCAGAGCAATTTCTAGATCTGACCGTGCAAAATAGATGAACGCTGCCTGCTGCTTGAATCTCTTTTTTAAAGGATCAATCTGACCAGTAAGTCCGCCTGAGTGTCCAACTTTCTCAAGCAAAGAAAGAGCTTCCTCAACATGTTCATCAACCAGAAGTGCCTAAGATAGGAAATATGAAACAAATGAAGCAAGCATTTGAAAATCACACTGTAAATAATGTTTACTCACCTCCACTTGTTTCTCCCAGGGAACAGGCACCAGGGCATACAGGCTTGTCTGCGAACAAACATATATGTGGCCGTCATAGTTTCCAATAAGTTGCCCCCCGAGGAATGGTATAGCTTGCTTCTGCTGCTGGTCAACAATACTGCGCAACAAAATTATACATATCTCAGATTGGTAAAAGTGTCAACAAACAAGTAAACAGGTATGAGATTTTATTATGTTACATCTTTCTTGAGATTACCTGTGAACCATGATAATTTCATTACTAACTCCAAGAATATATGGATGATGAAAAGTAAGTGATGTTAATGGGTAAGACCATTGCAGGGGTGGGCGGTTTGATGTTCCTGCTGAACACACAAATATCCCCAACCCGTCTGGGCCACTAAGTAGAAATTCTTCCTATGTGTAGAAGAAAATCAAATTTTAAATACTTTCTGTGAAATACATACAGGATGATATGCTTATAGTCCAAACAAAGCAAAGACGCAGCTCAGTAGAATTACCTTTGCAACTTTACATAGGTAGGGAGTGAATGTATCTTTGTCAAATGGGAATAAGTCTTGAACTTGCCCTTGATCGCAGTCAAGAATAATGTACTTATCTCGAAGAGCAGCACATATAATTCCACAATCAGCACATAAGCACTTTACTGGCTCTTGTAAATTAAAAGTATTGGTATGAGTGATCTTGTCATCTGGAGTCACATTGTGAATAGCTAATTGCCCTTTAGATACTGGTGCAACACATATCTAACCAAAACAAATAAACAGCAAGAGAGATCATCTAGTTAGGAACAGTTGAATTTTGTGAAATAATCTACAGATATTGCCGAATTTCTCTCACCTGTACAAGAAATGGATCAGTACTTCTGGGGTTTTCATTTACACAAAATGTTTGCACATTTTTCAAACGGGATCCAATAAGCTCCAAGTCATTAATATTGAGAACATAGAGGGTAGTATCATAAAGAACTAGTAACTTTTCCAAGGCAGAAGCAGCCTTTATCAACCGTACTGGCTTTTTCTGAAAAAGATTGGTAAAGAGAAATTACAAAAACGAAAACTGGGAATAATAATTAGAGTAAAATTTTAACTTACAGCATCAAAAAACCGCTGTCCTTCCCTATGATAAACGAAGGGCGAACTACTGGCATTCTTTGATGCTGTTTCCTGAACGCTGTACTTCACAACATGGCTGAAATAAAAGTGATAAGTTGTAGTTAGTGTAAGTAAATAGTAATACTAATGACAATAATAGGAATAGGAAAAAGAAGAAGAGTGAGATTTTAACCCCTACTCACCCATCGCTTGTACCAATGAACACATATCGTCCACTGCATTCAATACATTCAATCTGAAAAATGACAGAACAAAAAAAGGGGTTACAAATTACGTGGAGACTAAATAATATCTTTGCATCACGACGAACGATCAGAAAATACATTTCTTCAAACAAAACATTGAGCCTAACCTCATTTTTTATGTAAAAACGAAAAAAAGAAAGGGAAGTAGAACTTTATACCAGGCGTTCTGAGGTTCTGAGAACCTTAACACACAACTGGTTGAAGTGAATACAATACAATACCTTGACATGTTTATCACCGGTCGGAGAAATAAACCTAGGTATCAATTCCACTAGTTCATACGCTTTGACACTCATTTTTTCTAACTTGGCTAAAATAAAAATTGAATCTCTTCCAGCAACAAAATGGTATGTGAAGGCTTATAGAGACCTCAAGTATTTTCTATGGTTAGCATATCATCCCACGTCAAACAGAAATTCAAAACATGTATTGAAACTTCAAGATTAAAACGTAAACATGGGAGTCAAACAACAACAACAAACAACAAGAACCAGAACTGTCACCTTTTTTTTGTTTTCATTTTGAAGTACATGGCAAACATTGTCATACTGCTCTGCTGACCCTCAACTGTTTTCTTAAGGGAAAGACGAAACGCGGTATTTTCGAGTGTTCCCGAAGGCACTACATCATCAGGGCTTTCTCAAGATCAGGGACATACCATGCAGGTCCCAAGTGTGGCCGTTATGGCTAGTGACGATAACATTCTTCTAGGTGTTCTTGACCTGGTACAGAGCAGAATAGGCCTACCCGTTCTCCACCTCCAAAAATGGAAAGAGGATGATGGAGGTAAAAACCTAGTACAATCCATTTTCGGAGTCAAGCTTCTTTTGTAGGATTTTTGTCCAAGGTAAGGCAGAAGGCAGGGTTGTGAAAGGAAGTAAGGATGTAAGCTCTCTGTTTGCTTTAACTATTTTATTCATTTTGTCTTAATAATGTTGCATATGTAACAATGATTTAAGTACATGTATAAGTGAGGAGTTTTGCCTGTAGAAAAATACATTTAAACAGAAGTCAGAAATAAGTAAAATCATCCAAATGATAATCTCGGAGGAGAATTTTGTGACTCAAATCAAAGGGATTAAGACGGATCTGTGACAGCTCCATCTACTTAAAAAGATAAAATTGACATTGCTTTTGTGCTTGTCGGTCGAGAAATACATTTTGAAAGAAAACAAAACACTAATACAACAACACAATGGTTTTTCTTGTTGTCAACAAACAACAAAATTGACTCTTTTCTTGCAGTCAACAAACAACAAAATTGACAATGAATAATTGAGACCGTTGTAAAGAAAACTTAAACAGGTACTTGTGGATAACAAGAAACATACTTATAACAGGGTAGTAACAGTAAAATAATCTTCTTCATATTTACATGTCTTAGAACCAGCTGACCTCTTGCAAGACAATTTTCCCATAACTAGCATTTCTGGAATGAATGTTTAGCATCCATAATGTCAGTCTGCTTGTGATTGTGGCACTCATGCCAAATCAGGTACACAAAAGCTACACAATTGCAATTGCAATCTTCTATGTCTGT